AAAGAAAAAAAAACCATAATTACCAATTGCAGTCTCCAGGTGTCAATCCTGCGAGTCCATCCGGATCCATATTAAACTCATCATGAAAAATCTTCAAATTGTCCTGGTACTTCGGGAAGTGCACTGACCCCAGCTCCTGGAGGAGAGCTCCATCAACACTCACTCAATGTCACTTGGTAATTATTTGTTAAATAATTTGTTAAATAGCAGAGGATCAGAGGATCAGCTGATGATCCGCAGTGAAGAGATTTTGTGGTAACACCGGGTCGATTGAACAACTGCAATTGTTAACCGACCAATCCAGCCAACAGCAATCGCACAACTGGTACTCAGTACAGCTGCACCCATGACGTACATCTCCTCCAGCCCTTCCACCCCCTGGAGAATCGACCAGTAGATGAACGGTTGCCCAGTGCCAAGACAATCCTCAAAAACTCAAGTAAATAATCCCTAAAAGAGATTCTTCTAATTAATTATCACATCGTAATTACCACGAGTCAATTAACAGTCGAATTTGCCATTTTTTAAAATAACATTTTCAGTTATTTTATTTTCAGAAAAAAAGCGTTCGCTTATCGGGCGGCGTTCAGCCACTGGGAGGTGAATCCCATCCCCTCGTGTATTGCGCGCGTTTCAAATGAAAGCGACAGGTCATACGAGAGAAAATGTCACGTGAGGTGTTTATTTTTTTTTCAGGGGGTGGAGCGGTGATTTGGGGGGTCATGCGAGGATTTTAATTGGACGACCTTAAATTAATTGAAATGCAATCCTCTGGGGGTGTTTGCGGGTTGAGGGAGTTTTTAGAACGCAAGGTATTTAATCGTTTGATTGTTTATCAATTTATTTTAATTCTGCATTAATTCTCGTTTGATTGAAAAAAAAACAGGAAATAGCGAGTGATGAAAGATTTTCTCCTGGGGATTAGTCGAGGACGTGGTGCTATGGCAACGGAATTGTTTGGATCTTCCCTCAGGAAAACTCTCTTCCAGTTAAAATAATCCGTGAAAATTATCCTCCACTGCAATTGCGGTATTCCGGAGTAAAAAATGAACGATTTGTCTCTGAAGGCTCAGGAGAGCCTCGTCAAGCGATCGTTACGTGAAAAGGTGAAGTTTATTTAATCAACCCTTTGAATTATTCGAAACGTATGAATTTCCGGGAATTTGGGAATTTTTCTAGGAGGAAAAACGGGCGCAAGGACGAAGGAGAAATTTACTGTACCTCATTCTAGATTTTCTGCGACAGGAGAAGTA